AAATCACCCAAGTACCGTAACAGAATCACCAAGCCCGAAAATGGAACCAGCAGAAGTGAATTCCCAAATTACCTCTTTAACCCATAGAGTTGAATTACTCACACAAGGCATGCAGGATTTGCAAATTGCTAATGAGAGACTTCTTTCTTATATTAGAGAAATGCAAAATAAAGTTACACATGCTTCAAGGGACCCTGTTGTCTGCAATCCCAAAAAATTATATGGAGATCGCTCTAAATATAGAGAATTTTTGAATTCATGCAAATTATTGTTTACTCTCAAACCCAGGGCTTATCCCTCAGACAGGATTAAGGCCTGTTCAATAATTTCCTACTTAAGGGGTGAACCTATGTCCTGGGCACATTCATTTCTGGAAAATGAAGATCCTATTTTGGATTCTTTAGATAATTTTATTGAGGCAATGTCATTACTTTATGAGGACCCTAATAAACAAGCTACTGCTGATCTTACTATTAGAGAAAATTTATGACAAATTTACCGTAATTTTCTTTTCCTGGCTATTTCTCATGGCAGCATCACTTATGGGTAGCTCCTCCCTTAGTAGTCACAGGACAGGAATTAATTAGATTAATTAATCAGACTGATAGGTATAAAGAGTCCCTCCTCCCCCTACACCTCAGTCCAATTATAAAGCTGAAATAAAGAATGGGCGGGAACCCTGATGCTGCCATGAGAAATAGCCAGGAAAAGAAAATTACGGTAAGTTTGTCATAAATTTTCTCTATTCCTGGCTAATCATGGCAGCATCACTTATGGGTAATACCCAAGCTTCACAGAAATATAGGGTGGGAATAATAATCCAAGAAATTACACAAAACTGAAACACATGGGGCGTGGCCTGACAGCCGACGGACTTGTCGCATGAGCGCGAAGCTCCAGACCCTGACCGGGTAATCAAGGGGGCAAACGGCACACACTGAAAACAATGGCATCCAAAAAACACCGCAGCACCGCAAGGCAAGCTCCTGCCTCTGAAACACCGGCAGCCAAAACCTCCCTGTGGCGCTTTTTTGGCGATCACACGGAAGCACACAGACGGGACAAAATGGCGCCCGCGACACAAACGCGAGGCAGCCAGCCCCCGAGCCCAACAGCAACAGATAAGCCCACAGAGTAACAAGATATACGGTCCTTGCTGACCCAACTACCCTCCAAGACCGACCTGGCAGCCTTATTTCAGAAACTGGAGGACAGCTTTAGTGAGAAGCTACAGGCTGTTACTGCAGACGTGCAGCTGCTAGGGGACAGAGTCCAGGCTCTGGAAGAAGAGGCAGAAACTACTGAAAAACAATGGGCTGAGTCCTATGCTACCCAGGAGACACACGCAGAGGCAATCAGGTACCTGCAGAGACAGCTTGAAGATGTAGATAACCGAGGATGCAGGAATAACCTGAGGGTGAGAGGTGTCCCTGAGAGTGCAGAAGGGGTCCCAGAAAACCCCGTGCAGGTTCTGACAGCCCTTTTCAACCGCATTTTAACCAGACCACTGGACACTGCCATTTTATTTGATAGAGCCCACAGAGCGACCAGACCTAGGAACCTGCCTCCAGATAAACCACGGGATATTATTTGTCGCATACATAACTTTCCCCTAAAGGAAGAAATCTTGCACAAAGCTCGACAGAACAAGGATATCAAGATCGACGGACACCCGGTGATCGTCTTCCAGGACCTAGCGCCATCCACGCTGCAAGCTAGGCGGGCACTACGACCTATCACACAGGCCCTGTCCGAGAGAAATATCAAATTCAGATGGAGCTTCCCGTTCGCTCTCACAGTTACACTCCAAAACAAAACGCACACTATAACCTCACCAGACGACATACCTGAATTCCAAAGAGCCTTGAAACTACCGTCGTCCGAGGTGGAGGATTGGACGGGCCTGAGAGGCACATCAGCGGGACGGACCCCGCACAAACCTAAGTGGCAAAAGTCCCCTCGAAAACGTCGTAGACAGAACCATCCCGGAGCAGACGCAGCACCGACATGAGCAGTACACGGTCGTATGATCAGACTCTCTCTCTTTTTCCTATCTACCATTTTCTCTCTTAATCCGCCCATGCGGGTATCCACTGCGGTACACCCAGTGAATGGACTGACATTACTTTCCCACTGTGATGCAAATATTGAAATGTTATATTGTGTTAAACTTGGTTATGCCTTTATGAATAACATGTTACATTGCCGTTACCGGGCCCTAGAATTCACGAGGAAAATATAAGGTTAACTTTCCCATCAGGGCTTCAGACGGCCGGGCTCACAGGGCACACTCTACTCCCTAGCCGACGCACACCTCTGACCTCCCTGGCTAGGGTAGAGGAGGTAGGCTGTATCACTTCTTCAATGCCCTGCGAGACCCCCCCCCCTATGATACACCCGGTCGGGTGCTCCGGCCACCACCCCCCAGAGAGGCGCCACAACCCCACTTGTGGACACAGCGAGTTATCCACAAGTGTAGCGCCAATCTCAACGCCAGAGATGGCTCTCATCTACTGTTTTAATGTACATAGTTTACAGTTATCCCCCATCCACCTCCCACCAAACACCCCTGCCATTACTATCGTACTAAAGGTACTACCGACAGGTGCCCCCCATGTCCTATTTGAGACACTCTCACCATCGTTCCTACCACCATGACTCAAACCAAACTGATGTCCCTAAATGTTAGGGGGCTCAATTCACCCATGAAACGCACAATGCTAGCACAGGAGATCGATAGACGAGGTGCTGAAATAATTTTCGTGCAGGAGACGCATTTCAGGGGAGAGTTCAAACCAAGAATCCACTATAAACGTAGTAACTTAGCATACTACAGTAACAACACCCAAAAGAAATCCAGAGGCGCTGCAATACTCATAGCCTCCACAGCCGCCTTCACAGAAATGGGAGTTAGAACCGATCCCAGAGGCAGATTTGTCTTTGTAAAAGGAATGTACAATGGCACTTTGGTAACTCTGGCTAGCATCTATGTCCCTAATGCAGACCAGACCTCCTACATACGATCATGTTTGACAAAGTTAGAGACATTTGCCGAGGGAGTAGTAGTGGTGGGCGGAGACTGGAATATGGTCCTTGACCATTCAATCGACAGCTCTTCCACCACTACAGACACCAGACAACATCAAAGGAGGATGTTCACTAACGTGCTACACGCACACCAATTATCTGACTGCTGGAGGATCATGCACCCTCAAGGCAGAGACTATTCGTACTACTCTCAGACAGCAAAAAGCTACTCCAGAATAGATATGTTCATGGTCAGCCATAGACACCTCCCCATGGTCCAGGACGCATCCATAGGCAACATTACGTGGTCGGATCATGCCCCGATCCTCTTAACTCTCACACTACAGGATAGGTCCAGGCCTACTACACAGTGGCGCCTGAACGAAACCCTACTAGACGACCACAGAGTATTGGAGGATCTACAGCAGACTGTAGCAACATACTTCAAGGAGAATAGTGGCACTGAGGTGTCAGATCCTTGGGTGTGGGAGGCCCACAAGGGAGTCATCAGGGGTATACTTATTAAGTGGGGCGCACGACTTAAAAAAGAAAGGTCACACAAACTAGAGGCGCTCACAGCAGATATAACAACAGCGGAGACCCGCCATAAACAAGACCCCACGAACGACAACCTCCAAAAATTAACAGCCCTACGACTTGAATTCCGAACCCTCCTGACTACTAGGGCATACAGATCTATCCAACTGACAAGGGGGACGTTCTACGCACAAGGAAATAGGAGTGGGAAACTTTTGGCTAGAGCCTTGAAAGCTAAACAGCAAAAGTCTTTCATAAATAAAATAGTGGGCGACTCAGGCAGACAGCACGACACCACGGAAGACATAGCCAAGGCGTTCACCACTTTTTACGCTGATCTTTATAACTTGACCCCACCGACGACACAACCACATACCCTGTGGAACTACATTTCTGACAATATATCTTGCAGGATCCCAGTAGACCAGATCCATACACTGGACGAACCTGTTACACACGCAGAACTCCTCTCCACAATCAAAACACTCCCGAACGGTAAAAGCCCTGGTCCAGACGGACTGACAGCCAGATACTACCGAACCCTAAAACAAGAGCTGGCACCCCACTTCCTACGCACGCTGAATGGCCTCGCACTTGACTCCACACTGCCACCCCCGATGCTTCGGGCATCCATTACCATCATCCCCAAGCCAGGCAAGGATCCCACAAGATGCGGTAGCTATCGACCCATATCACTCATAAACCTAGACCTAAAACTAATGGCGAAAATGATTGCCAATAGACTCAAGCCTCTTCTACCCAGCCTGGTCCACCCTGACCAGGCGGGCTTCGTGCCAGGTCGCGAGGCTAGGGACAACACCACGAAAATCCTGAATGTCATTCATGGGGCGCAGGTGACCAGGACACCGACCCTGCTGATGGCAATAGACGCCGACAAGGTAGACTGGACATACCTGTTCAGGGTCTTGGAGGCCTTGGGAGTGGGCCCTAGACTACGCAATTGGATTCAAGCCCTATATAGGGGACCCTCGGCCACCGTCAGGATAAACGGACAATTCTCCACCCCGTTTCCAATAAGCAACGGCACACGACAGGGCTGCCCTCTGTCGCCCCTCTTATTTGTTTTGGCTATGGAACCTTTCCTGAATGCAATCAGGAAACACGGTGAAATAAAGGGCTACCACCACCGAGGAGGGGAAGTGAAGGTGTCAGCCTTCGCGGACGACATCCTTTTCTCAATCACAGACCCCACCATCACATTACCACGAATCAACTCAGAGATACAAACCTTTAGCGCCCTCTTGAATTTTAAGATTAACACAGATAAGTGTGAGATTCTGGGGATCTCAATCCCCCCAAATCTACAAACACGACTCCAAAGACTACACCCGTTCCCCTGGGCTGGGACAGGACTGACATACTTGGGTATAAAACTAGCTTGTTCCGCAAGCAGCCAATACAGACTTAATTATCCCCCCCTCCTAGACGGCATCAAACGGGACCTCCTAAAATGGGATCTACCCCACTTCTCTTTGATAGGGCGGATCAACATCATCAAGATGATGGTCCTCCCGAAACTACTATACCTCTTCCAGGCACTGCCTATCCCACTCCCGAGTACATTCTTCGCGCAAACACGCACATGCTTTACCAAATACATATGGGGCAATAAACCAGCGAGAATTGCCTACACTACATTGACCTCCTCTGCAGGCAGAGGCGGACTGGGCTTACCCAACCTGTACAAATATTATATAGCGGTGCTGCTTACCCGATTAAAAGAGTGGACCGACACCGCCAGGACCAAATCGTGGTACTCCCTGGAACAAAGCTTTGTCTCTGTCCCATTACACTCCCTGCCCTGGCAAACCTGCCACCCCACAGCGCACACCCCTACGAAACATCCATTAATACATAACATCCTGACTATATGGAGAAAGTATAAAGACATATGGGGACTATCACCCGGCATATCGCGGTTTTTCCCTATAGCGGCCAATCCTGATTTCCAAGGGGGCCACGGGGGCCCACTCCTTACCCGCCTCTTAGACTCCCCCACCCCAAAGATAACAGAACTGATTGGGGGAAACCCACCCACTATACAGGCTATAAACAACCCACTTAGGCAAGACACACTCCTTGAGGTAATAGGAAGAGCACAACTTAAGGCCTTCTTGAGAAGATCGGTCCTACCCCACTGGAGGCAGAGAGCAGACACACACTTTGAGACCCTTTGCGGCCCAGAGGGGGACCCAAAACGCCCCTTATCCAAAATATACCACATTTTGCAAGACACCGGAAGGGAACCCACAACCTTATCATTCCAACAGAAATGGATGAAAGACCTATACACATTTCTGACAAAGACTGGTCGAACATCTTAGAAACAGGCATCAAAACCCCGCTTAGCACACAAGGAAGCATTTTATAAAAGGGCCACCCGATGGTACAGAACCCCAGATAAGTTGCACTCAATCTGGCCGTCCATCAGCGGCTCGTGTTGGAGATGCTCCAATGGCCGCGGCGACATGGAACACATATGGTGGAGCTGCAGAGATATCCAGGGATTCTGGTCTCTCATACTCTCAACCATCACAGAAATACTAAAACCACCATCACACCTATCCCCATCACAGATTCTACTAGGTTGGCCCGCACATTCCCAGAGCCCCATAAACAACAATTACTACAACTCCTACTAGGGGAAGCCAATGCTCTTATCCCCCTATATTGGCGGACCACCACCACACCTACCAAAGAACAGTGGATACAGAGGGTAGATCACACAAGAGGCATGGAAGATATACACTGGTCAATGTTGGGGAAAAGACACATACATCTCCAAAGATGGAGCCCCTGGACGGAATTCTGGGAGAAACCCTTGGGAGTGCAGGGAACTTAGATGCCCTTAGAGTAACGCACCGAAGACCCAGGCATGTTGGCGACCTACAGTCCCAATTTGAGTCACCTTGGTAGACACCGCTCAAGGCACACTCACTACTATATTAAGTTGATGTAAGAGGCAGGACACCCCTAGCCCCTACCCCTTCCCCTGTTTCATGTTCTCACCCGCGGCCCGTTGCCGAACTTAGTTGCATACAGACCCTTCCGACGACCTATAACAGAGAGTGCCCCGTATCCGATTAAATAATACAGGAATACACATATTATTAAAACCGCCCCAGGAACGATGCAGACATCACACCACGGAACAAAATTATATGTGTAATAGCACGAACTGTTAGATGACCTTATTATGTATGCATTGAATGTCACCTATTTCTTTTTTCTGTATCCCATACACGTTTACTTTCGGAAATAAAGAAAAAGTGAAATTAAAAAAAAAAAAAAACAAAACTGAAACACATGCAGCAAAGAAAAGTTTAATATCAACGGGATAACGAGACCGTAGACAGGACACTCTTCCCAAAGGAGGTGGAAGGAGACTCCACTTCAAGTTTGTAGTGCTTCATGAATGTCATCGGAGAAGACCAGGTGGCTGCTCTGCAAATATCATCGTATGGAACCTCTGCCCAGCTAGCCCATGAAGTTGATAATGCTCTAGTAGAATGAGTTCTTATCTCCCGAGGGGGTGATATACCTTTAGAGATATACACCTTCTAAATTAACAGAGAAATCCAACGTTTCAACATAGATAAAGAAGCCGCCTCACCTCTCCTTGCTCCCAACGGCAAAACAAAGAGTTGGTCCATTTTACGGAAAGACTCAGAACGTTTAAGATATGCAGACAAGCAATTCGTGACATCCAAACGTTGCCATCTAACCTCCTCCTGAGAAGAGGGGTTGGGGTAAAATGATGGAAGAACCACTTCTTGAGAGAGGTGAAACTGAGAAACCACCTTAGGAAGAAACTCTGGTTTTGGTTTCAGACACACCCTATCTTGGTAGAATCGTAAACAAGAAGAAGATGTAGAAAATGCCTTAATTTCTGAAATCCGTCTTGCGGAAGTAATTGCCACCAAAAACAAAGTTTTATACGTCAGGAGAGTAGCATCCAAACTTTCAAGAGGAACAAACAGATCCTCAGTGAGATAATTGAGCACCATAGGAAGGTCCCAAGGAGGGGTAGTAGATCTGGAAGGAGGCATCAACCTGAAGGCCGCTTTGAAGAGCCTGGAAATCAAAGGATCCGAAGCCCATGAGATGTTGCACAAAGCCGAAAGTGCCGAAGACTGAACCTTCAAGGTGCTGAGGCTAAGGCCCTTGTCCAGGCCTTCTTGCAGAAACTCCAAAACTTCAGTATTGCTAGGATGCAGAAAGTCCACATTATTAGACGATGCCCAAGTTTGGAACACATCCCAGATCCTATAGTAGCATGAGGAAGTGGAAGCCTTCTTGGAGAGCAGAAGGGTATTGATCACTGCCTCCGAGAGACCTAGTAATTGGAGTCTTTCTTTCTCAAGACCCATACCCCCAGTTTGAGGCGTTCCAGATGAGGATGGAATACAGGGCCCTGCGTTAGCAGATCCTCCATCACTGGAAGAGGCCAAGGTTGTTCCTGGCTCATCATGGCCAATAGGGGAAACCACGGCCTCCGAGGCCAAATTGGAATTATGGCAATGACTTTCTTGCCTTCCGACCAAACCTTCCGCAGGAACCTGGGTATCATGGGTAGGGGAGGGAAAGCATACCCCAGATCGAACGACCAAGGCAGAGAGAGAGCATCCTGGCCCAGTGCCTGACAGTCCGGACGGAGAGAGAAGTAATTCTCCACCTGGTGATTCTGAGATGATGCCATCAGGTCGATCTGGGGCATGCCCCACCGATGAGCAATTTCTGCAAAGATCGCCAGGTGAAGTTGCCATTCTCCCGGAAGAATTTCCTTTCTGCTGAGGAAGTCTGCCATTACGTTCTCCGAACCTGGGAGATAAATCACCTTCAGGCATTGAAGATAGGTCATGGCTATAGCCATTAAGGGAGCCAGCTCTTCCAGGAGCAACCTGCTCCTCGTGCCGCGTTCACATATGAGGCCACCGCTCGATTGTCTGTTTTGATTAGAACCCAAGAATTCCTTAGCCTTGGCAGGAATCTCAAAATGGCCTTGTAAACCGCTCTCAGTTCCCTTAAGTTTGAGTGTAGGCGACTCTCTTCTCGGGTCCACTTCCCTTGAGTCCATACAGAACTGAAGTGGGCACCCCATCCAAAAGAACTGGCATCTGTTGTAATAACCTTCCAAGTGGGGTCTTCCAACGGGAAGCCTGTTGTCAAATTCCTCTCGCTCTTCCACCAGTTTAAGCCTTTCCTTACGGGAAGGGGAAGAGATATCATCTATTCCCAATCCGCTTCCACTCTGTTGAACTGGAGAAGGAAGCAGTTCTGGGCCGGACGGAACTTCCACTGGGCCCACTTCACCAAGCCTATTGTTGATGTCAAGGAACCCAGGAGACTCATGACTTCTCTTGCAGGTGCAGTTTCGAGATCTTGCAGCTTCCTTACTTTGTCTCTGATCTTCGTGACCCTTTCTGGAGACAGGAACGCATGTGCAGACACGGTATTCACCACCGCACCCAGGAAAATGATCGTTTGTGCAGGAACGAGGGAGCTTTTTCCCACGTTCAGGAGCCAACCATGGTCTTGAAGAATTGACATTGCCACTGACGTATGTTGAGCTACAATTCCTTGAGATGGACCCAAGATTGATAGTAGGCGTCCCTTAAGTCTATTGAGGTCATCCAGTCTCCTTTTTTGACACACTTCAAGATGGTCCTCAAGGATTCCATTTTGAACGTCCTTACGTCGAGCAAGGAGTTCACGCCTTTCAAATTCAAGATGAGACGCCACTTTCCCTGTGGTTTTGGGGCCAAGAAGACAGTGGAGTAAATTCCCTGAAACCATTCCCGTTTTGGAACTTCTTCCACCACTTTTTGTTCCAGGAGTACAGAAATGCAGGACCTCATGGCCCTTCGTTTAATGCCTACCGGCACCTTTAATTTTCTGAAGAATGCAGTTTTCGGGTAAGATGAGAATTCTATTCTGTAACCTTCTTAAACGATGGAAGTGACCCATAGGTCTGGAATATTGCTGGCCCATATGGGGTAGTCTTCCTCCCACCGTCCCCGAACGGGCCTGGGGACCTTCAGAAGTTCTTCCCTGAGGTTCTAGCACCCCTTCCTCTGGGAGCCTTATTGGAAGATGAGTGCGAATAGGATTTCCATGAAGAATTCCTGGAAAACTCCCTTCCTGGTTTATAGCTCCTGCTGTCCCGAAAGGACCGATCCTTGAAGCGCTTGGTCTTCCAGGAGGAGGGAAAACTCTTCCTGCCAGCTTGAGGTAAAAACGCCTTTTTCCCATCAGCAGCTTTTTGAAAAGCATCTTCCAGAATTTTCCCAAAAAGGAACGGAAAATTGGAACGGAAGTGCACACAGGGAAGCCTTAGAGGCATAGTCAGCACCCCACGAATGAAGCCACAAGGCCCTTCTAGAAGCCACAGACAGGGCCATGCTTTTGGCAATCATGCAAGTGATGTCCAGGGAGGCCTCTGAACAGAATTCCGTGGCTAGACTAAAGTCCTTGAGGCTTTCCAACAGGACTCTTCTTCCTTTCATCAGTTTGCTGTATCTCGTAACAAAAAAGCTGATACTCTTTCCAAAATTCCATTTAATCCTTCTTCAGAAGAGAAAGTCTTCAGAATTTATATTCCTCCAAAACTCCGACATAACCTTTTAAAATTAATTCATGATTCTCTCCTTGCTGGACATCCTGGGATAAAAAAAGACAATTGAAC